CGCATATTTCCCGCTTAAAACATGTCACATATAATTCCCGGATTTCCCGGTCAGAAGATATATTGCAAAGGGTCGCCACTATTAGTTGTACCTAGGGCGCTGACAGGGTCAACTCGGTCGGGGAGAAAGTGCCTTACACCACTAGACCTTTCTACACTGTCAACCAAAAGTCTTGGAACAACTAAATGTTACGCCTCCCCAAATATCCTATTCTGATTAAACTAGCTATGGTTGTCTTATCAACATATCCTTATACAGTAGACTCCCTCTTATCCGGACTATATACAATGCTCTCCTAAATTTAAGTCAAATATTACAGGAAATAGTCTGTTTTAATGAGTTTTTGGGGACGTCGGTTTAACCGGAAAACCCGTTATTCGGACTGGCCTCGGTCCCGAGGAGTCCGGATAAGAGGGAGTCTACTGTAAATAGGTTTAGAGTTTTCATTAATTTTAATATATTAAGATTGTTTGAGAATATGGGCTTCAGGGGCTAGAAAGCCGAAAAGTGAATGCCATCTAAAAAATCTAACATAGGCCTAAACAATTAAAAATGGAAAAGATCAGTACATATATGTTTAAAGTGAGGAAGATGTTTTAATTTCCTGCCTCATAAAAAGTCATGAATTGTGATCCATCCTGAGCGGCTTTCCATCACTGGCTTTCCCTGCTCTGGAAGCAATCATAGTTTTAGCAATGCAGGTAAAAGAAATGCCTTATCTTCCAAGGTTAAAATGAAAATGCCTCCAGATTTTATAAGTAGTCATATAAAACGTTTTGGAGTATACACAGTTTATTGACCCGATCTGGCTGGTTGCTCAAACATTTATTAACTTACACAATCAAAGCTAGTAGGGGAGAACAGGAAAAGAGAGAATATGTAAATGAGACTTGCAAAGTTGATTCAGAGAATCAAATTATATTCCAGTTACAAAGTGAAAGGTCAAAAGTTCAATGGATGTACAAAGTAATCTGTGAATTCTTCTTGGTCACACCATCTTGAGAATACATCTTGGGAATACAAAAACGCTGCTACAAACACGCTTAAGGTTTGTGGTTGCAATTTAACGCAAAAATTAAATATTCAATCTATATCTGAGGTGAAATCCAAGAGAGGTTTGTCTGTAATCATACACAATGATATTTGATTCATGCTCTGCAGATAGTTTACGTTATCACTTCAAGATTACAGTGTTTAAAAGGAGATCCTGTATGTTTTGTAGATAGTTTACGTTATCACTTCAAGATTACAGTGTTTAAAAGGAAATCCTGTATGTTTTGCTGAAAAACATTGCATTTAATGTAATAATATAGATTATTCAGCTCAAAAAGAATTACAAACCTGACTCAATCGGTTATGTAATCTGGACTTCTGCCAATATGTGACAAAGTTATATTGATTATTACTGTAGATTCATTTTAAGTGTATCGGTGTGGTAAGGTAATCGGGTAAAAAAACTATACGTTTGGCTTGGTAATTAAAAGGGTGTTTAAAAAATTGAAATTGAGGTTGGTAATTTAATTTTTTTTGCATCATAAAGAGAAACTAGAAGAGAATGTATTCACTCACTCACTCCCATGGCCATTTATGCCCAAGGAGGGATTGGGCCGTTCCAACAACTGCTCTCCACCTCTCCAAGAAAATTTATTGTCCAACATAAAACTAAGTATGTAGTCTCAGGTCTGCCAATTAACCAAAGTGAACAATAATAACCTTATTTCTAAATGATCAGGACACAACAGATTAATAACACTTGTAATGATCAATGCCATAAGAATCTAATTTTTTTTAAACCTGCTGTTGCAAGCAATCTTCTTGCGTATTGTAACAATATATTGTTACAATAACAGATCGATATACCTGTTATAAAATGGCTTAATGGCTGTTGTAAATCTTACTATTATTGATTGCTATAATAAAATCAAGGCGCTTACTATAATAAAAGATTGAAAGAAAATACATCAACATTAAATAATTTAACTTACCATACCTAATAAATAAAAAACGTTCTTTAAACTCTCGGAGATCCATGATGCAAGGGTATATAATGGGGGGAAAGGTAGACACCTTCACTGTATAAAATTATTTTGTTTCATGATGAGGATGGATGATGGCTTGAGAAAGCATACTGGAACGTTTGGGGTGCAATGACTAGAAATAAAAACACCATTTGGGGAATTAAATAAAACCCGGCCGACTACATGTTTACGGTTTGTTGGAATCTTGAGGACTGGTCAGCAAGGAAACTTTTGGAACGGCGGTTAAACGTGGAGGGAATAGTGGCGTGATGGGTTGTAGCCAATCCGGGAGCTTTATTGAAATCATACGATATGACGTCACAGTCGTCTGATCGCAGTCAGGACACAAATGCAAAACATATTGCCAACTCTTTCTAACACAAATCTAAATATCGTAAAAATGGCAACATTATGGTACATTATTATTGTATACACTACACATACAGACAATCATTCATTTGTTAATACACTGTACTTATAGTTGAAGAGGAAAACAAAATCTAGAGAAGAGGAAACAGGAATTAGATTTTCCTCTACCACTGAGGTTAAAAACAAGTTGATATCCATTCTCAAAGGAAACTTGGTGATTTGCTAAGTGGATTTGATGCAAATAAGAAAAACCATCTCAGAACTGTTCAGTAATGCTTCGGTCAAGTTCAAGGTCTAAAGAAAAAACTGGTTTGTTTGAAACATTGCATCTCTGGCTTCTAAAGTACAGTATTTGCTTGCTTACTACTATGCTAGAATTAGAATATGAAAAATAGACGTAAACAAAGTCCGCCTCTTTAGTTTGATATTAAGTGTATTCCAGACACAAAACTATGAGTGTATTTTCCCGTACTTCCCAACCAAGAAAATGGTAAATGTAATAATATTTTTGTATTAACTGCTGTTTTGCTACCTACACTATAAAGATGAAATTATAATGTCAATGATCTTGTATTTAAGAGATGTGTGAAGCTTTGTCATTCGTTAAAGAAAAGACTATACAAGTCTACAGTCTTTTCTTTTGGAGGAAAAGTTTCCTACTTTTGGTGGAAACGTCCAACATTACACTAAATTAACACTAACTGTTCCCAAAATCAGTTAGATCTGATTAAAATTTCCGTCCTTATACATATGTTCATTAGCTAATTGCACACTCGTATAGAAATACGTGGCATGTTTTTTGAGTAAGTACCGTTTTTAAATTTCTCTGTTCCAGCGCTGCGATTGGCATTTTGGACATTTGTGTTGCATCTATCGGCAAGCCTGCACCGGAAATTCGCCAACAATTGGCCGTGTTTACATCCAATTTTAAGCATTCAAAATGATGCCACCAATTAAGACTGCCGCCGACTGTGAAGTGCACGCTGAAATTAGATTTTTAAGTGCTTAAGGTGTGAAAGCTATTGAAATTCATAAACAGATTAGTGAAGTTTAAGGTGAGAACATTATGAGTTACAGAATGTTACGCAAGTGGATAAGGGCATTTAAAGACAGCCGCACCAACGTTCATGATGAGCAACGCACTGGGCGGCCATCTGTCATTACTGATAAATTGGTGCGTAGGAAAAGTCGATGAAAAGTGAGAGAGAACAGTCGGTTTACGATCTCATCATTATCTGAGGAGTTTCCTTTGCTCATAATTTTCTCGCCATACACTTCACGAATCTGTCGATGAATTTCAATGGCTTTCACACCTTTAGCACTTAAAAATCTAATTCCAGCGCGCACTTCACAGTCGGCGGCAGTCTCAATTGGCGGCACCCATTTTTAATGCTCGAAACCGGATGTAAAAACGGCCGATTGCTGCCAATAGATGCACATGCACAGCACAAATGTCCAAAATGCCAATCGCAGTGCTTGAACGGAGAAATTTAAAAACGGTACTTACTTAAAAAACATGCCTCGTATATTAAAAAGGAATAGGTTCATTCGCATGTTTAAATTTATTAAATTCCTCTTCCACAGCAAATCTGCAGACTAAGCAAATTTATATTTGCCTGGGATTTTCACTTGAATATTTCCTTAAACAAGTCATAATTAAATATTATAGTAAACTAGCTGTACCCGCGGGCTTTGCCCCGTTTTACTTCATAAGTGAGCTCGATCGCATGGCTCAATCACGTCCTGGTTGAAGTTCGTTCGCTACGCTCACTCACCTTTAGGTTGGAGCTCGTTCGCTGCGCTCACTTGCCTTCAAGTTATCTCGTTCGCTACGCTAATTCGCCTCCAGGTTGAAGTTCGTTCGCTACGCTCACTCACCTTTTGGTTGCAAATTAGCTGTTGTCATAAATTAAAAAAAAAATAGTGCTGCACCCTGTTGGTAATCCTTGTAACTTAAATGCTATTGCACATCATAGAACAGAACCAACTTGTTTAATTGAAACAGCTGTTAAGATTCAGTAATTCCATTTAAATATGAGTACTCATAAGGTTAACATGGGAAACTCCAGAGCCACTGGGGTGGAGCCCGAGAGTCCGATCAGAATAAAAACAACTTAGTTTTCCTATTTAATGCCTAAAGAATCAGTGTACCAAATTTCAGCCTCCTAGGTAAATGGGAAGTGGGAGAATTAGTGATGAGTGAGTGAGTGAGTCAGTCAGTCAGTCAGTCAGTCAGTCAGTCAGTGAGGGCTTTGCCTTTTATATATATAGATAATGGAGTGGCTTTTGTTGAATGGGGACAGTGGCATATATAGACAATTCAACTAATCTAACAGATCCTATCTTGTCTAGATAGTTGAGCATATACAGGTAGGCTTTGAGCTACCAGATGGTAGAGTTTTATATCGGTAGTCATTACTCACAGCAGATTGTCATGCATAAACCTGAACCTGACGATAGAAGAAGTTCTGCTTTGACCACTAGATCAGCCCTGTCCCTTATTTACCGAGATAATAACCAACAGTTTTCATTTATACCTACTGCTTTGAAAACAGTCTTGAAGCTTTTGCAACACTATGACACATCTGAGGAACCATAATAAAAACACTGTGGTAAGAAGTATAGCTATGTTTATCCGTCATTATAAGGTTTGTAGTTAGATGAAGTAAACAGGCTCCACTGCAGGCGCAACTTCAGCAGGGTAGGTGTAAGGTAGCTCAGCCACTGCAACTGCAGGCGGGGCGACCACTCCATTGTAGTTCCGGGCAATGTACTGTGAGCTAGTGGCGGTGACTACTGCGGGGGCAGCAACTACGGGGGCAGAAACTACAGGGGCAATAAATTGAGGGGCGGGGGCAGCAACAGCACACCCGATGGCAGCCAACAATACAATCTGAAATGATTCATTTACATGTAAAATGAAGGTTTATTTACACAATGTCTAGGACACTTTTAAGGGTGTAACCTAGAGCCCAAGGGATAATAGGATGTAACATAGAGTACAAGGGCCTAGCATTAGATTGTAGGGACAGCAGGCTTACCAGAATGGGAAGTGTCTACTTTGTGTAGGTAGAGTGTATAATTTTTTGTGTCTTCCATAGCGGACTCCCTCCCATTCACATAAGCCTGCTATCCCAAACCAAAATATTTTTCATTTGTGTGTTTCTATCGCTATATCATAGACAAATAGAATAAACATAAACTGTCAAAGGAAGGGTCCGCGATCTGTCACTAGAGTCATAGACAAAAAGAATTAAATATAGACTGTCAGCTGTGCTGCGGTTACCATAGCTTCTGGCGCACACCGCTTGGAGCGCCATGTATTTACGGCGTACGCGCTACGTAAACTACAGCGGTGTGCGCCGGAACCTATGGTAACCATGGTAACCGCAGCACGGCTGACAGTCTATATTTAATTCTTTTTGTCTATGCTAGAGTGTCCTCAGTGTTCGTCGACTCGCTGCCGTCGTAGACTCACCGTCTACTACCAGCAATTTTTTACGTAGTTTTGTAGCTCTATTTTGATTTTTTCCCACCCTGTATATGTATTAAATAGAGTTTAACCAACTTCATTGATTGTACCATCATTTCAGGTACCTGTCACTATTTATTTTCTTATTGACTCTTAACATTATTCAGTATTCCGGCATATGATGGCTGTGTTTATCATTATAGGGTAGTGACTCAATGTGTATAATATACTTAACAAATTATCCATCAATTTAAGTTCAAATTAATAGTTCTGTATTACTGAACAATTTTACCAACACCAATATGTAAAATATAGTTCTAAAAAGGACAATACCAATGTAAATACAAATACCGTCGCCACAGCAAACCTGCAGCAGACTAAGCAAATTTCCATTTGCCTGATTGGATTTTTTATTAAAACCATTTAAATAACATTATGATTAACGAGTACCTAAGTTTGCTGCTTCAGGGGCGCTAATAAAGTTTATTTTTTTAGTAAATTAATAGCTTAGTATAAAATAAATAAATTTCCCAAGTTTGATCAAAATATATCCATAAACAAGCAAACTATATTTTACAGTATTTTTAAAAATAAACATAGGAATTTTAAGTATACATTTTTTTTAATTTTCTCTGTAACCAATTATTACGGCCCCACAAAACCCCGTTCCCGTGGACCGATCATGCTGGTTCACAAAATCATTCAAGTTCATCCCGTCCTACACCTTCAAGTCAATTGTCATCAAAATCGGACACAAATAACAAGTTATCACGTTCACGGACACGGACATATAACATTTTTAACTAATGAAATTTTACACTCTGGAGACATCAAATTGAAGAAGTAAATCTCACCTGGGCCTAGGTCTTACTGTGCCACCTATGGTAACAACTACTTCCCTATAGGGAAATTTGCTAAAAGTATGATTTTCCCAACCCTTTATTGTCAGTTTTTTTATTCAGTTGCAAGTATCTCATTTAGTCTTTAGAGGGAAAGCATGATTTTTTTCCTAACAATCCCTGAACTATAAAGACTAGGCTCTACTATTTAAACTGATAAACATTTTTTAATTATTTGTAAATAAGTAAGTGAGTAGCTTACCAGTGCAGGAGACATTGTAGGCCTGTGTAGACTGTCGTGGACTGGAATGGTGTGGAGACTATTTATACAACAGTCACACAGTCTAATCATCATGCACAACAGGGAGGATTGCCGAACTGACAAGGTCTCTGATCAAGGATTCTAGTGACTTATGTGCCAACAGTGACATGTTGAAGTTTAGCAACAATCTGATGTAAAAAAAGGAATTAGGTTGATAAGAGTGTTTCTTCTAACTCTAAAGATATACATAGAACTATATGATTGTTTGACGAATAACAAAAATGAGTGATTGACTAATTGCCATAAATCTTGCCAAAGTATAAATATATTATCTGGAGTTGATTTTTGACAAAATAAATAGGGCATAAAAGGGGATAAAAGAAAATTATTTGTATTTCACTTATTTAAAAGTTCAATGAAATGAAAATTTAAATACTTTAACAGGCACAGCAAACAAAAAGTCATAGGACAATATTTAGGATGTTGGTCAAAAAAACTAAAATCTGGAGCTAATAAAGAACCAACTTTTCTTTACAACTTTTTTTCTTATTAATCAAAAGTCAAAATAGCTTCCCGTTATACAATAGGTTATAATAATGCCATCCTCGAAAACAAATATACTAACTTAATAAAAAAGTGTGAAAAAAATGTTTTTAACCATTAAGAGCTAAAAAAATCATTATTGTTCACTTTTTTACCTTTAATCTTGAACAACAATCAAAAACCATTCTATATTTTCCAAACAATATCCAAATGGTAATCCAGTAATGTATGCAGTGTCAGTTACAGAACAATATTCAATAGGTAAAACATGAATTGAAAATTCTGAATATTACAACTACTTTTCAATTAACAATCAGCTAACACATAACACTATTGTTTCTCCTCCAGTCGTAACATTTTTGACAGTTTCACCATTGTTGGCGACAAGAGAAGCGATTGGCACTGACTATGACAGCATCGGGTGTGTTAGTTTCCCTCGCAGCATATTTTCCGATAGTTTTTGGTCAGTTTCAGTATGGTTCTTATTCAGGTGAAACTCAAGAAATCGTCCCCTGCTACGGACAAGAGATGACCAATGGTTCAATCCATATTGGAAGAATACAGTACACGTAAGGATATAGGCCTAGCTTGTTTGGACAAGCTGTGGATTTTCATTATTACCTAATTGATATTATATTAAGGAACCCAGAGTTTTTTTTTTTTCAATAATGGGATATCTTTTAAACCAAAATCAAAATTATAAAGTAAAAAATACTATAATAACTTTGCTACTGTAAGTATAACAATTGGAAATGGAGATGTTTCCATCAAAATAACATTGGCATAGTTCCTGAATCCTGAACAAGGATCATGCTTAATTTGTACAAAATCAATAAAAATAATCATCTACAAGAGGATGCTGCTAAAATAAATACAGGGTGACTGCCGGGAACCGGACGTTTTTTAAATGAATAGTACAACCTTATTTTATATAGTAAAATTATTTATTTGTTGAATATATATTGGTGAAAACATACCATTTCAAAAAAAATATGTTTTATGGAACCTTTTATCCTAGTTTGGGTTTATTTCTTAAAGATGATATCATGCATATGATGGCCGTTAACCTGGATACAGGTTTCCAACCTCTGGAGAAAATCATTACGCACTCTCATCAACATGTCTTGCCCAATCAAATTCACCTCTTCGGTGATTGCATCTTTTAGCTGTAATAATGTTCATGGTTTGTGAACATAGACACGAGCTTTCAAATACCCCTATAAGAAATAGTCACAGGGTGACAAATCTGGTGACCTCGGCGGCCACGGCACGTCACCAAAACGTGAAATCAACTTGCCAGGGAACATCTTCTTCACAACTCACATCGATGCAGCGGCAGTATGTGCTGTGGCTCCATCTTGTTGGAAGTAAACATTTTTCACGTTTATTCCTCACCTCCGAAGTTGTGGCTTGAGATATGTTTCCAACATATGAACATAGCGTGCAGAATTCACTGTCACTGTGACTCCACTTTCCTCAAAAAACTTCGGGCTCCTCATCAAAGCAGTTCTCACTGTGGCGATGTTGTCTGGTGTTCTCACTGTTCTTGCTGGACCGGGTGGCTTTTTCTTTAATACTGTACCTGTTTTTCTGAACTTGTGCACCCATCTTAGCAATGTATTCCGGCTTGGAACCGAGTCATTTCGCGCAATATTAAAGTGGCGTCGGAAGATACGCTGTGTTTTGATAATGGATTCGTCATTTTAATAAATGTCATATGCAAAAACACGATGCTGAACTGACCACTGATCCATCGTGACTAAAATGGTAAAGCTCACTCAAAACAATGACATAACCTCAATCTCCCTAGCACGTGTAGCAACAATGTAACAGCTGTTGCAAATTCGTCCGGTTCCCGGCAGTCACCCTGTATAATATCCAAGAAATAAAATTTATGATTTTTGATTGAGCATTATTGAGCTAAACGGATTCAAACGATCAATAGCGCAAATTAAAGTCTATAATTTACTGGTTATTTTTAGTCTAAAACATACAAAATACATGAACAATACTAGAGCTATTGATTTTTAATCATAGAAAAACCTTATGAAAAATAATTTTAATTTTTATGTTGGTTTTTCTCCTTGCATTTGCATGAAACTCGTCCGATTTGGATAACTAATAGCTTAAATGAAAGCTGGTATTTCACTGAAGGATCTTAGACCAAAAAATATATAGGATTATATAATTATAACTGGTGAAATACATCTTAAATTGAAGTAAGAACTCGAAAATGAATCAAATTATATTTTTTTGGTTGAGTAATACAGTAGGTAAATATATGCAGATGCTTGATGTGAATTCTTTGCCTGCATACTTTCAATTTGAGACCTCAATCAAGAAAATCGGTTGGGTAGAAGAGCCAAACGAACTCAGAATAGAAAAAACAAATTTAACTCCAATAAGAAATACATGGGGAGCAAATTTCGTTAACGTACAAGCCGAGTGGGATAATAGATATAAATATATGCCGATGCTTGATGTGAAATCTGTGCATGCATACCTTCAATTTGAGACCTCAATCATGAAATTCGGTTGGGTAGAAGAGCCAAACGAACTCGGAAAAGAGAAACCCATTTTAACTCCTATAAGAAATACATGGGGAGCAAATTTTGTTTACGTATACACAGAGTGGGATTATAGATAAATATATGCCGATGCTTGATCGCAAATCTGTGCGTGCATACCTTCAATTTGAGATCTCAATCATGAAAATCGGTCGGGTAGAAGAGCCAAACAAACCACGAAAAAGAAAAACCATATTTTTTTATTTTTATATACAGTGTGTAAATTAAGTATTGAAACAAATCTGTATTTTTAAAATTGTTAACATAGGTTCTGCAATTTTTTGCATCAACAATATTTTTTCAACCCCTTTAACAGGGTAGGGGGGGGGGTGACTTATTTTTTTCAATAACAACCCCTATTGAGTGACCCCTCATTTTGAAGGGGTTGTTAGAAGAAAAACAATGACGCAAATCCAAGGTAGATATTTCACCCCTAGCCTAAATGGCGGGTATTCTAATTTTAATTTTTGTAAAAAAGCACCCATTTTGGAATATCCGCCATTTTGGCTAGGTGGAGATATTCTCCTCGGATTTGCATAATTGTGTTTCTTTTGACAAACCCTTCAAAATGAGGAGTAACTAAATAGGGGTTCCTATTTGAAAAAAATAAGTCACCCCCTACCCTCTACCCTGTTAGGGGGGTTAAATTTTTTTTATGTAATAATCATGAAACCTTTGTTAACAATTATTGCCACAAACAGAATATTTCTATCTATTTCGGTTTTAAAAATACAGAATTGTTTCAATACTTAATTTACACACTGTATACAAGATGCCTTTTATCGTTTTATTCAATTAATCAAGTAAATATTATAATATAGTTTTTTCCATAACACAAAAAAATTTTCGTAAAATAATAAATGATTGGAAATAATGTTTGCTGTTTTTGAAAACACTAAAAACATTACAAAAACTCTTGTAACGTAAATTTTACTTAAGTAAAACATCTATACCGAATGTAATTAAAATTTTGCTAAGATAAAGTTTTTTTTTTTAAATCAATAAATGTGGAAGATATTTTTGGCTATGTTAAACGATCTTAATTCTTATTCTTATGGATTAGTTTGTATTTATCTGTTTAATTTTTTTTATTATCCATAGGGAACCTAATCGCGACGGAACCTCTCCATGTCAACCTAATTTAAAGAATGCATGTAATTGCCAGTGAGTTTCAATGACTGAATGATTACTTTTTTTAAACGACTTGATAACAAACGCACGTGGCTCAGGCATCGTCTAGGCTCTCAGATAACCTGTTGCTGAACAGTGCGCTGCAGAAAATAGATAGATTTTTTGCCAAACCTTGTAGTTTTGTTGCAGGATAACTTTTTATTCCATAACTTTTGGTCTTTAGAAACAGAACCAGAATCGGGACTAAATTTTAACCTAAACCATGTTTGATTAGGGAGTGTGGCTGGAGGTCCACCCTTCCTCCGAGAGACACGACTCACCCACACACACTATCAATGGTCTGTCCTGAACCCTTGTGTTTTTGTGTGTGATGCCTGCATGAGATATCCGACTCTTCAGCCAGCCGCACTAAAATCTTTTTTATAATTCAATCCAATGTTGCAGTTCAGAACAAATTTACAACAATGATCAGATTTACGAGGGAACGTCCAGCAACCTGGATTGCTCGTTTAACAGCCACATTGCAAGTGACACAGTAGGGTTTGGACCGCGTCCCTACACATGGACTATTGACAGGATTGATCTTGTCTCCTCAGGTAATGCTGTCTTTCGGAAAATTCAACTATTAATCCAAAAACCCCTTTGTACGGTTAAAGTACGGCGCTGGTAACAAAGCCAGGTTGAGGCCGTGCCCCTAAAAAAAACTTTACAAATTATAATAAAGCAAGTTGACCAGATGCTGCGCACAAAACTTTAAGGGGGGACTACTGTTACATATGTTATTTATTTACATTTACAGCAGAGATTTCAGATTGTTGTTATGTCTAGTCAGTTTTAGTAAATATTTTTATCACAATTTCATTTACAATCTGTCCAGCTTTTTGAACATTCAGCAAATACGGTAACAATTAATAAAACCACTTTAGTTAGTTTCTATCCATAGACATCTATCTATATCTAACTTTAAAAAATTTCAATGAAAAAAATTACAATATAAAATGAAGTTATTTCAAAGCATGAGCTAAGGTCTATAAGATGAGTTCTTTTCAGCCTGTATGTAGCGGTACTATTGTCCAAGAGGTTTAGAGCCTGGTGATTAGAATGATTTCAAGCTTTTTTTAGGTATTTTACACAACCATTTTGTTATTTGTTCTTCATTCTTCAACCTTTCTAGTATAATCTTGTCTGTATACAATATCTCAAGAGAAATCAACAAAAAAGATATACATTATCCTTTTCTTTCTCAATAGTCTCTTGTGTTCTACTGTAGGTGGTGTGGATTGCCTGGGCGGTGGAGTTGGGTATCCATGGTACAGGTTCAGACTTTACGGCCGGGTATATATCGAGTACCAAGCAACCATATGGATAACCTGGAGGGGACCTTCTGCTGAAGACATGACCAATCCTGCATACCTGATCCAATGTGTCTTCGAGGATACCAATCAGCTGGCCTATCCAGCCAACCCCATCCTTTACTGAATCATCTATAGTGTTAGGAATTACTGTTTATTTTATATTTACAATTTATGAGAAATATGTTACCATTCTACACTTGTATCCAACAAAGTTGTAAGAAGCTGCAGATACTACGAAATAGAAGGTAATTTTACTGTGTCTTAAAACGTTTCAACATAAATCAATAGATTTAATTCACCAATGAGAACACTTCGGATGGCACTCAATTTTTGTTGGATAAAACATTATTCACCTGGCCTTTGTATTATACCTAACTTAGAGTTTGTAGGTTTTTTAGCATTTGTATTTGTTGCAGTAGTTGTAACATCTATAAAATATACAGCTTGGTCGCTGAGTATTTACTGTATAATGCTAGTCTGGGAATCAAAAGGTTGCAGGTTTGATCTTGAGAAAAATTACAAAACTGGAGCTTGGGAATTTAATGATTAGTGCTAATGCGCTAATGCTAATGCTAATGATTAGCTAACTAAACGGCTAGTCTTAGTCCAGTGGTTGATGAAACAGCTGGTCTTAGTCAGTGTAATGAAACAGCTGGTCTTAGTCAGTGCCTTATGAAACAGCTGGTCTTATCAGTGGCTTACGAAACAGCTGGTCTTAGTCAGTGGCTTATGAAACAGCTGGTCTTAGTTAGTGACTAATGAAACAGCTGGTCTTAGTCAGTAACAAAGCTAGACAAGGCATCTCACTTCATTCTACACTTATTCTTAAGGTATATTGGATTGAAATAACTACTGTGGTGGTGTCCCCATCTCAATTAGTAAAATCTAAAGAATTCAACATATTTATTTTTTAAAGTAATTTCATGTTGTTCCATCACAATTTACCAATCCTGTGTGCATGCAGATTGAAAGAACGCAATGTGCAACCACATACAAGAGAAGAAAGGCAATAAAACTTTGATATTTTACTGAAAACAATATATTTTATAACGTGATTAAATAATTTTAAAATAATAAATTTTATAAAATTTGACTTTTAATTTTATATTTAAAGCTGTTCTTTAAGAAAGACGTAAAAGTCAAGAATGTTAAAGGATATCTACAGCTAGTTTGAACTGTTTTCATGATTTGAGTGGCAGTGGCACAGCCTTTTGGGCCAGTTGTATCTCTTGGTCGGTCAGAATGTTGAGATGCCGCAGGGCCTGAAGCAGCTGCAGACGAGAGTTGCCGATGAAGGCGTTTGACAGGAAAGTAGGAAAACCTCGGTAACCATCTCCCATGGTGTACAGTGGAACTCTAACCGTGCCTAGGACCTTGGAAAATAAAATCTGAATATTAGAATTGTGAAAACGCTAAACCATAATAAAAATTAGTTAGCAGTACTTGACAAGTCTAATGTTGATTAACTGGTCTTGGATCTAGAAGTAAAATGCATTTTATAAAAAAAAAATGGCCTTGGATCTAGAAGTAAAATGTATTTTATATTACAAAAAACTGCTTGAATGAAAACCCCATAAAAACTATGCTTTTAAAGCTTAGGAGGGGACGAACGATTAGTTTACAGGTTTGCTGCAATGTAATAACTACACAACATTTCCTTCCTGTCACATTAAAGCCGCGTTTTCACAAGACCAGTAAAGCAGGCAGGTTGCGGGGCAGGTAACACGCCTTCTTAACCTGTCCGCCAACTGTCCTCATGTAAACAAGGCTTTAGTGAACACTCTAAACCCTGATTGTGTATAGGCCTAATCTCATTACAACTTGTTGTTTAAAAGGATCATTTAGCAAATAGTTCAGAACTGAACAATTCTGAACAAAAAAAAAAGAAAAAAAAAGTACCTGCCCAACCAGGCAACTGCCAGATTCGAGCGGATGAGCCATAGTTTATGTATCAGGCAATTGGGAATAAAATATATAAGCTATCTATAGAGAATCCATATGGCCTAAACTATAAATGTTTTAGGGCTACTACACCAGAAAATTATGCTGATAATGATCAATTAATGACAGTTTGGTTACAAATTATTAATCCTGGCTTAAGAATAAACTGGCTTATCTAAGAGTCTTCATCGCCCTTGCTGAAGTTACGTTTTGGAGGTATAGCATTGGGGGGGAAGGTCGCCATTCTGAAAACATTGTAAACACACAACTACTAAAATGGCACGTTTTGACTCTCATCTGCCACCTGAGCCAAGTTTCGTAAAAGACTAATAGCACAGTAGCCTCCTACAATACGTGTTAATTTTGTTCCCCGTTTCAAACACAGTTTTTCAACAGATTTTCTTGGAATTTGTTAACAATGTACCGGTAGTTGAATAGTTATATTAAAGCTCTTATACCTCAAAAAATTGAAAAAGAAAATAATTTTATCAATAGTTAGAAGTAACTTTTAAGATTTGTTGTACCTATTCATACATTAACTTTTTTGGATGTATGAGGCAGGTAAGGGCTCTGGAACCAACATTAATCTGTAGGGGAACATTAGATCTTTACAAATTCTATTAAGAGCTAGGGACATTCGAGGCATGTTTTAGTGTTTTTGCAGGGGTGAAGAAGACTCTTAAGTACTGTACCTAAATTAAGTGAATTGAATTGAATTGCCTCAACACCCATCTTATTCATTTCTTAGTAGACTACCTTATTATCTTAGTTTGCCTCCTTACTTCAGTTGAAAAATACATTTTGCATTTTCTCCCAGAAATAGAATGTAAAAATATTATTAGTTCTATCCAAACTGTCTAAAGTCAAGTTTTTTTTTTAGTCAATAGGTACAAGTTCCTTATATCTGGGAACGAACACCTGAACCTGGTAAGGGTTACCTTGAGTTAACCTATGCTGATATTCTTAAACTAAATTTGAATTCGTGCTATAAATCAAATTAATATGAAAAATGAGTGAAACTAAACATTAATACCTCTGATCCATAATCTTTAGCTAACAGAGCTGTCTTTTCAATTTCCAATATTTCATCTAAACTGACTTCTAGAGCGTAGAAGTGTAAACATAATCGCTTGGCTATGCTCCAATGTGATACAACGTAGTCTGATTCAGAGACATGATGTTTTTTTACATCCAAGTTCATTTCTTCACTAAGTTCTCGATTAAGAGCTTCGACTGGTTGTTCCCCATCATCAACCAGTCCTCCAGGAAAACCCAAATTGCCATCAAACCGCATCTGCATCTGTAAAAACCAAAAAGTCTTAAGAGATTGCGCTTGGTTACAAAATAACTTATACAAATTGACTCAAAGAGTTTATTATAATACTTCCTGTTGAGGTTTTAAAAATCAATTTGTTTACTGGATTCACTTAAATCAATTTTATAACAGTTTTAGGCAATGTCTTGTTTAAAAATTTAACTATAGGTTCCTAAGTTTTAAAAAATAAGCACTACACTGTAGCCTATTTGCTTTTGTCTAAAGAAAAGAACATAAATGATGTCTATGTTGGTTTTTATAGCATTATAGATCATAACACTTTTTGACTTAATTGACTGACACTGACCTAAGACTTTTTGTGGATTCAAAATTCATGGGCACCCACTAAAAAAAAAATAAATAGGAAATTCATGGGTATACACATAGGGTAGAAGGGGGGAATTGGGTACTAGGTTTTGTAAAATGTACTTTGTATGCTAAAACAAATTGCATCACTTTACAACTTTTACGCCTTCATTTAAAGGCTTCCAATAGACATCTTTTCACTTATTTTCAGACCTGCAAGTTGTTTTGTTCTATTAAAAAAATATATATATTTTTTTCATACCCAATTACCCCAAAGGGGGGAATTGGGTACTACACCTATTATACATTAAAATGACCTATTAAAAATTCTGGGAAAATGGGTGTTATTAAGAAAACACAAATAAGCATTTTAAGACAAGTTTTAGTCTCTTATCATTATTTTTGACAATTTTATAGAGCGTTAAAGTTAATTTTTGAAAACTTAACAGTTTTTCAAAGATATTTCTTTGTAACAAATCCTTATAACCTAGGGTTGTAAAAGTTGTATTGATTGTAGCTTCTTAGACATACTTAAACATAAAACAAGTTGGATTATTCTAACTTATTACCAAAAAAAATTATAAGAAGACAAAACTTTGAAAAACTCTTATGGTCTTCTGCCTCTAAGCCGATGTAACGGGGGAATTGGGTACTAAGCCATAATTTCTTTAATGTTCAATGCACAGAAGTCATACCAACCTAAAGCAATTCTTAACTACCCCCTAAAAGCATATTCTAACTAAAAAAATAACAGATGTATTGTTATCAGGCAAAAAAAATATAGTACCCATTTTCCCATGAGGGGGCAATTGGGTACTAACATTTTCAACCCCTAAAAAATACACTTAGGCCTAAAAGTTAATTTAAAAATTCCTTAACTTCAGAAAATTACTATTAGTATGTATACTTTGCTCTTATGAGATAAAAGTAAATATTTTGCAGTAACTGAAATTTTTATAGTGTTTCCAAGGTTACTCGGGCCAAGTTTGATAGGCACTTTAAAAATTGAAAAACGTAAGGGGTGAACAAATTATTTTTTTACTCGTTTTAATTTCAAGATAACAACCTAAAATAAATTTGAGGTTTATAAAACATAACTAGCTATCACTACAGATTTTTTAATTCTTTCTAAAAAAAAGCATGTATTTTTTAAAAAATTTCAAAAAAGTTCATACCCAATTACCCCTAATGCCCAATTCCCCCCTTCTACCCTACTAAACAAATTTCCAAGTCAAAAGCTGTGGTTATCAGTAGGGCCTATTAGAATAAGTGGAGTTAACCAAATTTGAATAGTTACAATCGTATAACATGAGCAGAAGATTAAAGAGTCAAACAAATTATACGTATTCCCTTAGTTATCCAGCGTTTATCAGTAGGCCTACATAACGTGAAACATATAAATTATCACACAACAAATAAAAAAAAAAAAAACAGTTCACCTTTGAACAACTATGCAATAACTAACATAATATAGGCCTACCAAGGTCGTCCAGAAAGTAAAGAACTAATGTGCATCTTGCCCAGTGCAAATCCCCTGTGCCTATGATTCCATGTGTGGTCACTTGCTCCTTCCTTTCTCTTCAGAGTGACCTGAGTGTTGTTGCTGTGAGATGTGTTTTTAAAATTGTGCCGCTAATTGGAAATTTGGTAGAAGATAAAGTGCAGAGTGTAAAGAGCTTAGAAAACTCTAACTTAGTAGTCTGGGCGTGGTGTCTAGTAATCTTGGTTAGGTGTCAAGTATAAACCAAACTGCCCTAACCTAAACCCCTCCCCTAAACACTAAACTGCCCTGACAAGTTGTTTAAGCGAAAGGACATTTTAGGTGAGTTAGGGAAAGTGAATAACTTAATAACCCTAAAGGGAAATCGATGCACAGATTTAGATTTGAGCATAAACTTTAACTAAGTGACTTAGCGGTAAGACTTAACTTAGTGTAGGTTTATCTGTAAACAACTCCAACTTACTTATTGAAATTTGGACTTAACTTAGGTTTAGCTCAAATGTCAATTAAGCTAGAAAGAATCTAAACTTATTATCACAGTCTAATACACTTACTAATATGGCAGCTCTTGGGTTGTAAACACCAAAGGTTTTCTTGTCATTTCTAGCAAAGATCATACAATGACTCGCCTGTGTACTATTAAAATATGGATCATTCTTCAAATTGTCTCTATCTACTTGAATGTAGTCTGAAGAGTCAGTTATCCTGCCAAAATGTTCTGTTGAGGCTAAATGGCCCCAAGTTCGATCTCCTGTATCAGAAGCCATAATTTTCAATAAGCTCTTAGAGGTTGTCTTCCAGTTGATTTTGGTCCTGCACAATGAATTTACTATAAACATTGATATTGGTATCTTCTTCTGGTGGGGTAATTTCAATAATTATTTGTCAATGAAAAACAGGCTAGACCTAGCATTACCCCTGCTTGTGATGAATTCAAAACTGTTCATAAGACTGGAACCATAATACTAGCTTAAGTTAGTTAAAATTAGTCAGGCCCTGCTAACTTTTTAATAAACACGAGCACACTGTTGTTAAACTTAGACTAGGCTATATATAATTCACTACAGTTAAAATGTAAGATGCCATAAGCCAATTTATTAGGCTATTCAAAAATTAAACACTTTGACAATTGATTTACATAGATAAAACATTGAGGTTATGTAGCCCTGGAGGTTATGGCTAAGGCAAGGCTAACAAATTCTGCTTTGAGTGCTATCTTATCTTATTGCTTAGCCTTTGACACTCACTGACTCTGACTCTGACTCGAGTCTTGAGTCTGAGTCTTTGACTGGACTTGGACTGGGACTGTCGGACTGGAACTGGAGACATTGAATTGAATTTTTGGTTTTGAAAAAACGAATACATTGTCAAGTGTTATCTAGTAATTTAAATTGCTGATTGTATAATAAGCACACAGATCCTCACTTAAATATGGAATATAAAATGATAATTGGATTATTATTACCTTACAACAGCACTTAACTGGTTATAAATTATTGTAGAAACTTGGTGTAAGATTTTTATTTTTTGCTAAACTGTTTGTTGTCGTTGTTGTTTACACAATTACCAATCACCGAACAGCTGCCAACCTAATCAGCTGTTGGAAAAAAATATTGTTGTTGACTTTGAGGTTTGAGAGGGTAATCTAATCTGACTATCTGGGATAAGAGATCAATTGATTTTAGATTTCCACCATAGACAAGGGAGATTGGATATCTTTAAACCGTTAAAACATTTAAAGTGAATGATGAGCATGAATAAGTTTTTAAGATAGGTACTTCAAAAAGCTACTAAAATTTGCTTCGAGCCATCCCAAAGGGAGCTGGATTACAGAACGACGCCACCCATCCCAGTCTAAGGTCTCCATAATCCGTAGGCTACTTCACTTCTAGCATGAAGTACCTAATATAAAGCCACTGAGCAGTGACCCAGTGAGCCCGTCTGCAGTCCCTCATCGGTACGGTACGGTATGAATGAATAAATGAATATATAGTTGTATGAATATATAGGTAATAAGTCAAACATGATTATTCGTATTACTTGATGAATAAAACAGACCAAAATAACAATACAAGATTTGACATACAATTAAGCAGAAGACTTATATAAATTCAACAAATAGAAATGATCAACGTTTGTCCTTTCTCCACATCGTTGTATCACGTTGCAAAATCGCGTTTGCAGAAGATGATCACTACGTTAAGCTCCAATTCTGGAGTAGTTAACAGTTTTATAATTTATGGTTTCTTGTTAATTCAGCAATTTCCATACTGTAATTATTGGGACTGGGACGGGTGGCGTCGTCCTGTAATCCAACTACTAGGAGGTCACGAATTATGGTTATTTATAGGCATGCACTGTGGATGCAATGCTCCCTTGTGTGGATTAACGTCCGCACGGGTGAATAACTACGCCTATCCGCATCCTGATAATTAGACCAATTCGTAATTACCAAGCCAAAAATGTGGTTCGGATTCCACTATAAACTGTAGGTCCCTTATTGTTGCCATTAGCTGTATGGGCTATTAATTAACAGCTGTGTCTAAGGAATGTCGGCCTTAGTCACTAACAAGACTACAAGATCGCCACTCGTCCTACACGCATCTCTCATACTTGGCTTAAAATACCTACTTTGTATGGTCGCCAAATCACAGAACAGTATTAACTGTATTTAACTGTAACGTTGATCTCTATTCCTACTAGCCATCGTGTACACATGTGCTATTTTAATAATAATTTTCACTGTATTGATGACAGTTTGAATTGAATGAATAAATAAATAATCGCGGCAAACTCCTTTCGCCTTGACTATATGCCACTGTTTGTATTCATATAAAAACTTGCGTTTAATAAAAAATGTAGGCACATAAATAACTTCAGCAGTAATTTTAACACTCCTTGCCATCCTACCCTTGATGATTACAGCGTGTTCCGCAAGATGGCAGTGTATGCTATATAGTATAGTTTTCGATTAAATTTACTGAACTTTGACGACCTGTTGTAGCAGAACAACTGAATCGATTTTCATGATTTTAAAGTCATTCGACGTGGTTCTTAAGAAAAGTATGCAAACACTTTTTTCGTGGTATACACTGCAGTTTTTTTAGTTATAAGCGAAAAACTAAAAAATGAGCAAAATCGGCCTAGTTTTTAGTCTCCCATACACTTAGCTCTTTCAAATCTTTCAAATAACAAATAAACATCTTTGGATTGCTCTCATCCACATGCTGTTTGGTTACAAATGTTACACATGCTTCAGCAGAAAATGAATGTTTACAAATTATTAAATGTTTAATCATTTTGAAATTTTTATTCACAGTATAACAAATGAGTTTATTTGCTTGTTTTGGGTTTGATTCTAAAAACGCTAAAAATATGCCAGACTAGTGTAAATATGCCAGAGGACTTTTATATCCCGCCGAACCATAATGACTTTTAGCATTGACCATTATACTTTTTATTGCATTACCATTCATTTGATACTTTTTATCTGTGAGAAATTAGATAAAGGTAGGCAACCTGTACCCAATCCACCTTGAAGTTCCTGTCATTAATACGAGTTTGTTTTTAATGTCAAATTAACGGTAAAAAGCTGTTACTTAAAAAAAAATCACTACCTTCTTGTGATAACAGCTAAACCGTTAAGGTCAGACCAGGGTTTATGTACATTTTTGTTCCTTATACTGTAGTGAGTAGAATAATTGGTAATATTTAATAACTTACACTTAGTAGAGACTCACTCTGTATAAACATATTTATTCTATATTTAGATTGAGAGGACCCGTGTGCAAATTGCACAGATGCATAGCTATATATACTTCAATAGAGATAAATTTGCTAAAACTCACTGACTGGCTAAATTAAGTGCATACAATGTGGTTTCATTTGTTCCTATAGTCAATCAGTATGGGCACTAACAAGAAACAACCCCTTTCAACCACTATAGAACACACAAGCTGTACTAGAAAGTTTGAAAGAGTAATATTATTTGACAGACAGGCTTATTGTGAAAGAAATCATAGGACAAATATGCTAAAAGCTTGGTTTTTTTCAGACTGCTGTAGGTAGTAATTGTGTGCACAATTCACTTTCTACCAAGTGATGCCACTAAGGTAAAGTTCCTTCTTACCTTTCTTTAGGTCAGGTTCCTTCTTCTCTTTCTTTGGCTTGGATCTAGAAATATTTTGTCTTTCCTTTTATTCTTCTTTTTTCAACCCTGTTTCCGGTGATTATCCTTCTTGTTTTTAGACCAGCTCACACTATTAAGTCTTGGAAGTGCCCTTTTACAGAAGGGCTGATTTTTGCTTCGCACTGCCGATGGTATATCTCTTTGGTGTGTCGTCAGGGATAAGCCACTTCGGGCCCTAGTCAGGAAGTGCGGCATGGATGCAGAGGTCAGGCTCTGCACTGCCACAAACGACCACCGTACAAGGCAAACAGAGGCAGGGCCGACCCTTGCCCTGGCAAATATTACACACTTGTTTACACTGCCTGCATTGGGAAAGTACATGTAGGACAGTTGTCGGTGGACATGGTCATCCCGATGGACAGAGGGTGAGGGCAATTGGTCATGTGTGTCACATTTGATCTAGAGTTTTCTAAACACCAAGAAGCTTTTGACCTTGACTGGGTTGCGGTCTAGGTCATAAAGGAATTGAATGCCAGAAATGGCACGCACGAACCCTTACGGCCTTAGGTCACACGTTAACCTCACCTGAAGTACAGTAATGTGACAAACAATCCCAGGTCTGTGTACAAGAGAGTAGAGGGGCTTGTTTAGTGAGTAGTCTGATAAGACTACAGGCTGGCCACCTGTGAGCGTAAAAGAACATTTATCTACCTGCTCTCCCTAAGAAAAAAATCAAAAGAAAAATCACTGAAGGTAAGTTGCTATGAATGTATTTAGCTTGGTTAGCAGAGTTGCAATCTCACCTATAACTGATCCTTCAGTATCAAACCGGTGAGCGTGTTGGTTAATCTATGGCTTTATTGGTTGGTGGATGATTACTATAAATATTCAGGTACTGTATTAAGGGAGATAAGCCAAACATTACTTGAACACTGCTTTAGACAATCATGTACAGTACCTGATGTAGACTATGTTATCATCTGTACTATGCCTGTTATAAAAGAAACATTGTAGTTGACTTTTTTGGGTAAAAGAAGAAAAACTGATCAAATCTTGTTCAAAGGCTAACTTTAAAACACCAGCATATATCTACCGATAATCGTAACACTGCAAAAAATAAATAGTTACTGGTAAGGTTAAAAACAGTACTGTAAGCAATACATCACTTTTAATATACACAAAGTAAACAAAACCGCACATAAACCAAATTAACATCTTGATAAATAGAACCAACCTATTTATACATACAGTGGAAGACAATTTAACAGTTATTATATGAAACAGACTAGGGAACCCTGTAGTTATTTACAATCACTAAGTTTTTAATGATTTTATTTAATTTTCTTATATGTTTTTTTTATATCTTGAACAGTATTGACAAAACTTAAAAATATTTTCCAAACAAGTTTTACTTTTCCAAAATTTACAATTGAATTTACCAAAATTGTAGCATGTATATAGTTGTTATCATTTCATTCCAAACAAAAAACTTGGCTGAGTTGTTACAAGGGAACATTAGGCCACTAGCATGTAATGTACTAAGGAAACATTTTTCTTTCACACTCCATACTTCTATCTTATTGACTTTATCCCAACGGGATATGAGAACCAAATCCCAATCAAGAAACACAAAGTCAAACCCAAAAAGGTTTGAGGAAAACTTGACAATACCAGTGGTAAATTCAAGGCCAAAATCCTTAATACTTAAGACAACTAGGTCACCTCCGGTAGTAAAGCCAATATGATTTCCGTGGACTTGGACACTCTCAGGATTTATGATTCCTTCATATCTTTTTGAAGCAAGTCTTTCCCCACTGGTAGAATTGTAAATGCTCAATTTAGCTTGGCTATAACCAATTGTCAAGATTAAATTATCTTCATAATAAATCCAAGGAACGTGAGGTCTAAGAACCCTCAATTTTCTAAAAGTTAATGTGAGTAAATCATAAATGTACAGAACAGAGAAATAAATATCATCACCAAAATTACCACTTTGTCTCACATGTTGAACACAAACAAGAATTTTTCCTTGTTCTGTCTTAGGTGGACAAAATTTCACATTGTGTATCGGTTCTTTAACATCCACAGAAATGTTTTTTACCACTTCTTCCTTCAGTTTTACTCCTACAGATGAGTCCCAAACGTGAAATGAAGCGTTTTCAAATGTTCCATTTAGAGCCAAGCCTATGAAGTACTTACTGACATTAAACGCCTGAAGATGAGTAGGTCGTCGTTTTACAGTTTCATTGTACCACTCATCAACAGTCAAAGATCCTGGGATGGTTTCTGAATCTGATTCTGGTTGGTTAAATAATCTTCTATAACGGCAACTAAACCTCTTTTCTACCCTATGGTAAATTTGGAGCAAAGTGTCCTGAACAATGACTAGCCTATCTCCACACAAGTGAATCATACACTTACACCTGGTGTTTTTCAAAGCACAAATAACCGTTTCTTGTTTTCGAGGAATTTCTCTGATGTTCCAAACTTCACACTGATTGTCGTTCACGTTCGCAACTAAAAGATCGTTTTCAATTTTAAGGTCAAAGTGATTGTAAGCAAGATCAGTAACACTGTATGTTTCATGCTTAGCTCTGCGCCAGTTCCAATTCACATGTTGCAGTTTCATATAAACCACCCTCCAATGACACAAAGGTTCGAGGCGTTTGTGATACGACTCTGGTTCTTCAAACTCAGGAGATATCCTGGAGGTTACAGCCTGAACATATTCAATGGTAGGTTTGTTGCTTTGTTTGTAGCAAACCTTTTTCCACAGTCTATCATCATTTATGACAGCTCTCCAGCCTGAATTCACCAGAGAACAAGCCAGCAGATCAGGAACTTCCAAATATGACATTATTTGGTCCACTGGTAGTCTCGGAAGGTACTCCATCACTTAGTACCTGGAAACAAATTGTTTGTTTAAGATAAACTACTTTACTCAAGAAATTAGGCCTAATTTGAAAGGTTCTGAAGGCAAACGCCAAAACAAATTAGCTAATGAAGTTGTATTAAGCTTAAAAAAAGGCTTGGATCAAATTTTTTACCTTTTTTAAAAGCTAATGTTGCAATCACAACTTATTAGTTACACCATTTATGGGGTTACTGAGCATGGATATGAAATATTTATAGGCATGCACTGTGGATACGATATCCCTGGTGTGGATGAACGTCCGCACTAGTGAGTACTACGACTATCCAAAGTACTATCCTGATAATTAGACCAATTCGTTACTAACAAGGCAAACATGTGGTTCGGATTCCACTATAAACTGTAGGTCCCTTAGTTGCCATTAGCTATGGGCTATTAATGAACAGCTGTGTCTAAGGAATAAAATGTCAGCCAACTAACTAACAAAACTACAAGATCGGGCCACTCATCCTACACTCATCTCCATTCATACTTGGCTTAAAATACCTACTTTGAATGGTCACCATTTCATTGAAAAGTGTTAAAGAAACTAACAGCCCCAGATTTGATGACTAAAGAGTACAATTTTGAGTTTCTCTACCAAAGGTGTTGTGGCAAAGCCATAACAGTTCCAAAAATACTGTTTTTAACATATGTTATCAATACCATATGTTGTGATTATTAAAAGAAAATAATGTGAGTTGGACTAGTTGAATTATTAGCAAAAGGATAATGTTAACTGAAACTGAAATACTTTAATTATTGTCAAAAATAAAACTTCTTTCACGCTTCCACATTTATATATTTACTTAAATTAGAACAAACTTATAACTCCGCAACAATTGGTAGCAGAGCATTGATGGACTTTTTCCGTGGTTGGAGATCCCCAAGGGTATAGTAAAATCTCAGAAATGTCTTCTCAGCGGCTATGAAAGAACTACATCGAGGCAAGCAAAAGATTGAAGAGTGCAATCGCCGAAGCCAACGACTTGATAGCTGCCGATGAGACTACCGTTTCTTCAAAGAGACTAGTGACGATTTTTTCCATAGAATTCTATATTTGTAGAATATTTAGATATCGCAATCGTCCGCGATTGTGCATATCTCAAATGACCTGATTCCGTATCCGAAATATTTCAAAACTGATGTGACCGATAAGTTTTATCTAAACCATAGAATGTTAAAATAAAATAGAGTAGAGTAGACTTTCTGTTAGATTTCTTTTGTTTTGTTTTTAATATTTTGCTATCAATGTTTATTTCTAGCTTTATTTTAATCCCTTGTGTGTAGTAATGTATAACGGCTTGGCGCGTGTCAGACAGCTAACATGGACGGAGACGATGACATACTTGGTATTGACAGCTACAGGAACAATGATTGTATGGAGTTTGATAATTATAGACAATTTTCGGATTTATTTACCTTAGAACCCTCTGAGGGGTTTTTAAAAGTTATTCATTTCAATATTCGCAGTTATAATAAAAATATAGATAATGTATTAATTCTTCTTGAAGACTTGAAAGTAAAATTTGACTTAATTGTACTTACTGAAGCGTGGTTGGAATGTGGAAACAATTTGACAGATTTGGAGGGATATGATTTGTACTCAACTGAAATACATTGGAACAGAAACGACGGTGTAATTGTGTATTGTAAAACTGAACTTGGAGTAACATCACAACAGATATCAATGGGTGAGGCGACGGGATTACAATTAGACTTTTACACTGATAACAGACACTTTAATGTAGTAGCCATATACCGTAGTCCATCTATGAACTATCATTCATTCGTAACTGATCTAAACAACTACTATAGCAATGTTAATAAACACACTACTTACTTTTACGTTGGTGACATCAATATTGACATTTTACATAGTTGTCAAAATGTTTTTGAAAAAGACTATTACTTAAACATACTTTACAGTGTTGGCTTTACTGATTACATAAACAAACCGACAAGAGTAACTGAACGATCTGAGACCTGTATTGACCATTTATTTGTAAATCACTTTGATTATTCCGCAATAAGTTCATGCATACTTAAAACAGATGTTACTGACCACTATGCTATTGTTGCTAAACTTGAATACTGTTCTTCTAAAAATCTACACACAAAAACAGATGACAACGAAACAATCACTTACATAGACCAGAAATTGCTACAAGAGCTGATTGAGCGTCAGCCATGGGACCATGTTCTGGCTCTGCATGATGTTAATCTCTGCTGCGATGCATTTATTAGTACTTTTGACCATCTTAAATGCCAAGCGACGAAGTCTAAATATAAAACCAGTAGGCATAAGAAACTAAAGCCTTGGATCACAACCAATCTAATTCGTGGGATACGTGAACGTGATAAATTAAGTAAACGTGTAAAAACGCACCCTTTCGACGAAAACTTAAATGTCAACTACCGTAATTATCGTAATTGGCTAAACCGAGAAATCAAGTCAGCAAAAATTTCCTATTACAAGCACAAAATTCTCGAATCAACTGGACGGCCAAAAGAATTTTGGAATATAGTAAATGAAATAAGTGGTATAAAGAAAATTCGTGAAAAATTTCCATTAAGTCTTTTTTATGAGAAATCCGATAAGGACGGTATAAAAAAAGTAGCAAACTCGTTTAATAACTTTTTTACAAATGTAGGTAGGAATCTTGCTCAACGCATACCGCAACTGGCTGGACCTCCGCTGATTGACGATTCAGCGTTCAGAGTCAGACATGAGTTCCGGCTAGAGCCGGTCACCGACAGCCAACTTGAGTGGTGCATTAGGGATTTGCGTGGTGGATCTGCTCCTGGTATAGATGGAATTTCGGCGATTTTATTACAAAATAATATTCCGGCACTGATACCTCCACTCAAACACCTAGTTAATCTAAGCATTCTCTCAGGACAATTTCCTGACCGTTTTAAGATAGCGAAAGTAGTTCCTTTGTATAAATCTGGCACAAAGCAAGAGTTAAACAATTATCGCCCAATATCCCTGTTGAATGTTATGTCTAAGATTTTAGAAAAATGTGTCAAAATACAATTGCACTGTTATTTGGAAGATAATAATTTGTTATCAGAATGCCAGTATGGTTTTAGGAAGAGTAAAAATACTAGTGATGCTCTCTTCGCTATGAATAAATATATTTCAGAGTGTATTAACGGAAATGAAAAAGCATTGACTGTGTTCATTGACCTTGCAAAGGCATTTGATTCCATTGATAGAAATATTCTTTTAAATAAAATGGAATGCATCGGAATTCGTGGTTTGGCCCTAAAATGGTTTAGTAGTTATTTGAATAAACGAAGCCAGTTAGTTTCTATTAACAACAATTTTAGCGATATACGTGAAATAGACTATGGAGTTGTCCAGGGCAGTACGCTGGGACCATCCCTTTTTTTAATTTACATAAATAATTTAGACAAACTTCCAATCACAGGAAAGCTCTTTTTATTTGCCGACGACACTGCAGTTATATTCAAAGGTAATACTTGGGACCAAACATTCAATGTAGCGCAAACAGATTTGTTCCTTATTCAAAAATGGTTCTCCCAAAATGTATTATCAATGAATGTTTTAAAAACAAAATATATGCCAATTTTCCTCAGACAAAGTAGTAAGCCTCCCACCAACCTCAGACTAGTGATGCATGTTTGTGGAGATCCAGGTGTCTCTACCTGTGGTTGTTTACATTTGGAGAGAGTAGATCATTACAAGTACTTGGGAGTGATATTGGATAGTAGGTTAAGATGGGAACCCCATATTGAATATTTAAAGACAAAACTTAGGAAATTAATTTATGTTTTTAGAAACGTTCGCGAAATTCTTAACATCAATGAAATAAAAATGTTATACTATGCATTTGTCCAATCAGTACTTCAATATGGAATTATAGTATGGGGAGGAGCTAGTAGCAATATTTTAAAGCCTCTGTTTGTCATACAAAAACTAATTATTAAAATAGCTTTTCAATTCAACAGGCGATTCCCTACAAATGTATTATTCAAAAACACTCAATTACTTTCGGTGCGTCAACTTTTTATCAAAACTTTACTTGTATATACCTACTCTAATCAAGATTTGATAGTGACGCCAATCACACATAACTATTCCACCAGAGGAGCTGTAAATGTAGGTATGCAGGTACCCCGAGTTTTCAAGTCTGCAAACCTTACTAATGCTTTTTATATTGCGAATTTTTTGTATAGGAATATACCATCAGAGATTAGAGATCTACAGGTATCTCTTCCAGTTTATAAACGTTCGGTAAGCAGTTGGCTGTCGGAGATTGGGCTCGATCAGTCTGAGACACTTATCGGTTCAGTATACAATACCTAACAATAATTATACACAAGTACAACAAACAATATTTAGCGTACATATATCAGTAACTGCAACTCCATTCACTCGACTACCTTTTATTTAGCATTAACTGTTCCTGTAGCTGTCTCATAGCTTAGTTGTAAATAGTATTTTGATTAATTTAGTTTTAATTTTTTAAGAATATTTCTAATTTGTAATAGAGCTCGTCCCGCGCACAGGTCTTTTACGGCCTATGCGGGACTATTGTTCGTATTTTGTACATGTATATATTGTAAACATTTTTGGAAATAAAGCAGATTTTGATTTGATTTGATTTGATTTGACGACCGTAAATGTACTTTCAACTTACCCGAGACGAGTTGAGGAAATGACAAAATCAATAATGGACCTACATGATTTGCCGATTGAAGAAAAAGATGAAAACAAAAAGGTAACTGAACACAACATTTTCCTGATGCTAGACTTCTATGAAATCAGCGAGAAACTTAAGAGTCCTTTGAGCCTAGACATTCTAACTCATAAAATTAAAAAAAAAAAACTATAAAGAAAACTTCTAATCCCACAGTATACTAGATATTTAAATTACAATCACTTTGGTATTTGAAAAAATAATTTGAGATGGTAAATAACTCTTCAACAGTGGCTGTTTGAAATTAACAAAATTAACATTG